CTCTCTCTCTCTCTCTCTCTCTCTCTCTCTCTCTCTCTCTCTCTCTCTCTCCTTTCCTTCTCTGTTTTCCCCCCCAAATTTTCTTCATTTGATGTTCTCTATTTTTTTATGCTTTCTTGTTGTATAGAGTTTTAATAGAATTAATCAATGAATTTCAATCGTTTTAACTTAGTAATTTCCTTTCATGTTGCACAATTGGTGTTCAAATTAAAATTGTCAATCAATAAATTTTGAAGGTGTTTGACTCTCCACCATTGATAGCCATTAAAAAACTTTGAAGCTTTGAAATCGAATTTGGGTTTTCAAAAACTATTATTTGTTTGGATTGGGTGTTGCAAACAATTGAGAATATTGTCTGCAGTTTATATCTCAATTTTGAGGGTGTTTTGGTGAAGATTAGACTTGATTTTGGCTGAATTTCAGATTGAAACTCGATGAAGAAGAACACATGACATACAATATACTTATGAAATTGTAGTAAAGTTTTATTATAATTGTATGTAAATTGTATCATGTTGTAGTTATATATATATATATATATATTTTATTTGAATGTTGTATGAAAGTTGAAAAATAGTTGTATAATGTATGAATCGTTGTATAAAATTTGTATTTAAGTTATCAATACTATCTTTTTAATAAAGTTGTTGATATGTATGAAAATTGTATTAAGAGAGTAAGTTTTGATTGGAATTTCAGAGAGGAAGAAGCACAAATCAGATACAAAATATATACAAAAGACATATTGTATAAAATTTGTATAAAATTGTATTTAAGTTGTATGATATTGTAGTTGTATTTAATTAGGTAGAAATAATGTATGAAAGTTGTAGATAAGTTGTATAATATATAATTAGTTGTATAAAATTTATTTTTACTATGTATGAATTAGATACAAAATAATTTAACATAATTAATATTACAATGATTAATTTCTTGTACAAAGCTACCTTGCTTATTACCTTGGGGATACTGCTAGAACNGGACGAGAGAAAAAACGTTAACTGAAGGTCATGCCAAGAATAATCTTGTTCCAACAATGACTGCAAGGTACAGGACGTGGAATGAGAATTAAAAGAAGTTGAATAGCCTAGTATATCCTTGTAGTTGTTAACGCTTGTCATCCCGGTTTCTATACACAATAGTCTGTCAAGTGAACACTTATACTTGTTAAAACACAATATAATAAACCCCTCTGCCTTGCGTGTCTTTCAAACTCACTGATATTAATATCCACGCCAGATAAAATATTACACATAAGTTTTTATTTTCATATAGACAAAGGTCCAAATATGCCCTTGTACTATAGGAAATTGAGCACATTTGCCATTCGTTAATACTTTAGCTCAAATATGCTCTTATCGTCACATAGTTGGTCCATATATGCCCTTAGAGTTACACAGTTGACCCATATATGCCATTTTCGAAACGAAATCCACCCAAACTAATTAGCTCTTTCGTTAATTGTATTAAAGTGTATTACAAACACTATTTCCTTTTTATTAGTATTTTTTTTCTTTACCTTTCTCTTTTCTTTCTTCTTTTTTATTTTTTTCTCTCTTTTTTTCCTTTTTCTTTTTCCCTTATCCGATTTCCTCCATTACTGATATCTTCTCCATTTTCATCACCAATTTCACTTGACAAAACTCATAAATTTCAATTACTAAGAAAATTCTCCCATAAGAATATTTTTATAGATCATATGTTGTTCAATTTTTTAATTTTTACTGAACATATATTTAGTTCTAAAAAAATTTAACAAAGTAAGATTGAAATAATATTTATGTAACAAAAAATCCGAAAATCCAACAAAACCGAATAATCCAAACCTTTGATTTTGATAAAAATCGAACCAACCCATTTCATGTACACACCTAATTTACATAGTTAATAAAAATAGAAAATGTCCGGCTGAAAAAAGACTAACAACTCAAATTTATAACACTACAATTTGAACTCTAGGCTTTTAATCATTAAATTATCTTTATGAAAACAGTTTAAATATTTTGGTCTTTTGAGTATTGTTAAAGGTTGAGATATTTTTATTATTTTAAAGTTTAAACCATAATTTTTGGAATAATTTAATTTCATTTATTTAGAGGGTCAGCAAAATTGGAACTTGATTACTTTATGGGAGAATTTTCTTAGTAATTGAAATTTATGAGTTTTGTCAAGTGAAATTGGTGACGAAAATGGAGAAGACATCGGTAATGGAGGAAACGGATAAGGGAGAAAGAAAAAGGAAAAACAAAAAGAGAAGAAAAGAAAAAAGAAGAAAGAAGAAAGAAGAAAGAAAAGAGAAAGGTAAAGAAAAAAAAGTAGTAATAAAAAGGAAATAGTATTTGTAATACAGTTTAATACAATTAATGAAAGAGCTAATTAGTTTGAGTGAATTCCGTTTCGAAAAGGGCATATATGAGCCACATGTGTAACTCTAAGGTCATATATGGACCAACTATGTGACGGCAAGAGCATATTTGAGCTAAAATATTAACGAAGAGAAAATGTGCTCAATCTCATAGTACAAGTTCATATTTGGACCTTTGCCCTTTTCATATTGTACAACGCCACCCCCGCCTCCCCCAAAAGAATCTCTTCTTCCATTTTCACGGCAGCATCAATGGCAAGCCGTTGTTACAACACCGATCAAAGACGAGATAACATTAGCCCAAGTCCCAACCATACACCCCAGCATAATCACACACAAATCTATCTCCTGCAATATTCAGATCTCTCTCCCTCTCCTTAAAAGAGGACCAACAACCCCTATTAAGGTCACCACATGACCACTCCGAATACAAACAATAGAAATAAGGGGATAATGAAATTGTAAGCAATGCAACAAACAACAATAGGGAATACGACGGTACACTGAAATGGTGCTTACGACAAAGGAACAGTAGAGACATGATGCTGGCTATGAATGAATTGCTTGAATTTGATGGTAGGTTTATAAATGAATTGGTTCAAATTGATGGTGGATTCAACATATTGATCGAAATTGATGGTTATTGAAATAAGGTAATTGTAGTCGACATCAAATTGTTAAATAGTTTTTGAGAACGAAATGGTGTTGGATAGAAGAATGAATGGATTGGTATTGTATCTGACGGGAAGAAGCTTCAAATTGATTGGAGTTTGGTTTGGTTTTGTGCTTAGTGGGTTGTGGGGGTGGGGAGAGGCGCATAAACTAGAAAAGAATGGGGCAGGGGAGGAGATATTTTGTTTAACATTACTTTTCTTTTCAATTTTATTTTTAAAAATAAATTTTACTGTAGTAATTTCATCAAATTTGATGCATTAACTCGCTTTTGAGAGCGTGTAAGCACGCAAATTATCCGACTCAGTAAAAAAAAAAAAAATATCACATAAGTTCGGTCAACTGTCAGAAGGGTTTAAAATACTTACTTTGATCAAGTTGGAGTGTTTGGATAAAACTTTGATAAGTAAGGAGACCGAGATGTCAAACCCGAACAAATAGAAGTGCCTGTCGGGCTATTCTGCCTTAAAAGAATTATTTTATGGGAGTGTTTAACTTCGATTTAGAGGGACAAAAGGTTTGGCAATTTTATGCTTTCTTTCGATCATCGCAATGATAATCTCGAAAGACTATAATTAGACACCAAATTACAATTTAGTAGAGACCAAATAAGAAGTGAACAATTTAAAACGTACTCATTTGTTTGGTATGAAGCTATACGTACCCAACCCGAATACAGTTGGTCAATTTCGATATCAAACTACTAAATTATAGGAAACGAAAGAATGTATAGAAAATCTATGAGGCTTTAAAGGAAAAATATTAATTGTTTTCACATCTTTTAGGCTTAACAGTTTTCTGGGGAAAATCTCATTCTTTAATAGCTGAACAGTGTCATAAGGTGGAAGAAATAACTGCAATTACTTGATTTGTTTTGTGAAAAATGTTGACCGTTGGGAGTATCTTTGGTCCCAATATTCTGGAGAGAAGAGGGCAGAGAGAAGAGAAAAAAGTGTAACTAAATCCCTTGATTGAAGGCACTAATAATGGATTGTGAGCCTTTTAAGGTGGAATATATATAATTTGTAAGTAATTCTTGTTTAGGGCGGGTAATATACAAAATTAGAATGATTTTGGTAAATAAGTTTCCAAGAGCAGCTCAATATAAGTGGGGGCCTAAAGCGAAGCTTTAAGAAAAGGCCTTAAATATTTTAAATAAAATTTCATTTATATTTTATTTGTAAATTTTCTTTTCTAGATTTTGAAATGAGTAATTAATATCCTATAATTGATTTCTTCAATAAATATTTTTTCAATTGATAATAAAGCTAATCCATTTATTTT